TGGCTTGGCGTGACAAGGACTCTACTGAAAGCATGGATACAAAAAAAGGGGGTACATTTTTCTCTTACTTCATGGCAGATTACTGATCTTTCTTCCAAATTAATAAATCTGAAAAACTGTATTCCACACGAATTTATGAGGAAGCCACGATCTTTAGATGATTTAAAGAGATGGAAAGCAACTGAACTCCGCCAGTTTCTATTATATTACGGACCTTTTTTGGTGCATTCTGTTTTATCTGAAGAAAGATATTTAAACTTTATGAAATTATCAATAGCAACTAGGATATAATTAGAAAAAAAGAATAGTCAAATAAATAACGCATTTGCTCAAAATCTTTTGCTGAGTTTTGTAAAAGATATCCCTTCACTGTACGATTTAAGTTTCCTAACATCTAATTTCAATTATTTACTTCATATCAATACGGACGCTGATAAATATGGAAGCTTGGAAAGCATTAGCGCATTCAGGTTTGAAAACCATCTTCAAAAAATAAAAAAGCAAGTAAAACAAGTAAGAAAGTCTAAGTTCGGGCGGAGCCGAACATTAAATACCCGGCGCAAGTATTAAATATATGTTTTTTCACCCTTCCGAAACCTTCCGCTAGATGGTAAGCCGAGGTGTATCAATTTTGAGTAAATTAACGTCCTTCAATTTCGAAATATTGAAGCTTCAAGCATTTCTTAAATTTACCGTTATATGAGAATCGGCCGTTATTTTAGTCCGATTTCAATAATTTTCAACGTTTTGCTTACACGTGGCAAGTACAATAACCATACCGAGTTTGGTACAAATTGGTAAAACGGTTACCGATATACTTATATGTGATCATAAGTGGGCGGTGCCACGCCCATTTTCCAAAATTTTACCATAAACGTATTTCTTGGTAAAGAATTGTTGCAAGCATCAATTTTGAATAAATTAGCTTCAATATTTAATGATTTATCGAAGATTTTGTATTTCTCTAAATTACCGTTATATGGGATGTGGGCGTGGTTATTGTCCGATTTTAAAAAGTTTCGGCGGATTTTTATGCTGTACCAAGGCCAACAACTGTGCCAAGTTTGGAAGAAATTGGTGCAGCGGTTACCAAGATATACACATGTAACCATAAGTGGGCGTGGCTACGCCCATTTTCCAAAAATTTATAATATTCTTATTTTTCGTCTAAAAATTATTATAAATAGCAATTTTGAGTGAATAATCTCCAGTAGTTACTAAAATATCGCAGTTTTCGTATTTCTGGAAATTACCGTTATATGGGAAGTGGGCGTGGTTAAAGTCCGATTTCGCCCATTTTCAATACCAACCTACCTTGGATTAAGGGAAACCTACATACCAAATTTTGTTGAGATATCTCAATTTTTGCTCGAGTTATCGTGTACACGGACAGACGGACAGACGGACAGACGGACGGACGGACGGACAGACAGACATGGCTTAATCGATTTCTTTTTTCATCCTGATCATTTATGTATACATTTGTCTATATCTATCTTGATTCGTTTTGTCTGTTACAAACAACCGTTATGTGAACAAAATTAATATACCCTTGTGCACAAGTGCGCTCGGGTATAAAAATGTAATAATGTAGCTGCCCAGCTCTATAATAGGCAAGTAGAAAAGAGGTTAACATTAAAACGAATAAAAACAGTTTCAGATATATATTGTAAGCATCCTGATACCAGCTTTGAGTGCTATAAATTTGTGAAAACCCCAAATTTCTTATTTTCAATTGAGAAACCGAATAAAATCTGTTTTGTTGGCGAAAATATTATAAAAATAACTAGAATAAGTAAAGTTGATGATTTTCCTAATTTTAAAGGCAAAATATTAAAAAATTTGAAAGCACTTTTTAACCAACCGATTGCTTCAAATAAACTAAAAATGTATAAAGTAAACGAATTGACTGAAGGGGACGAAATTTCTTTCTCTCTTAAAGAAATTTTGAACAAGGCAATAATTCTGGAAAATAAAATAATCCCTCCGTTTGTTATTTTCCCATTTTTAGCATAATGGCTGCTCAAACGCTTGGTAAGATTTCTACAATTATTTAAAGAACTTCATTGATTTAAAATAATTTCTACCCTACTTTCGTTTCAGATTCCCTTCAAATGAAAAAAAAGAGAATCAATATATCGAAGTTTCAAATATTTCACAAGGTATACATTTCTTTACATCTTATACCTTATAAAATATACATACGCTGGCTCCATCAAATAACTGGACAGCCCAAAAAAGGAAATTATTTTCTTAATTTTCACAAGGTTTTCATTGTGTCCGGTTATTCGGGGGAGCCACTGTATGTTCATAGTTTAATGTTTATTATATTTTATTTATGAATTAAAATACCTTTGTTTTAGATTCTCTTCCAAATGAAGAACAGATTCAATACATCGAACTATCAAATGTTTCACAGGGTATACATTTATTTACTTCTTATGCTTTCACTTAATACATATACTGTTACTCACAAATATGAGCGTACGGCTCTTTTTTGTTAATATTTGCACATTATTATACTAAAATTTAATGGGCTATAAAACTGCATACCCGATTTTTTTTTTAGAAATTCGTATTAAAAAGTTTGCGATTTTGTGAAACTTTGCAGATTTTTCTTAATTTTCGTACACACTATCATTCTTACATTTAAATAGGGTTTGCTAAACCATAAGCCATATTTTAATACAAAATTAACAAAAAAATTTTGCATGTAAAACCTTGCGAATATTAACAAAAAAGAGCCGTACGCTCAATTTTGTAAGTAACAGTATGTACATATCGTCACCTGAAATGCAAAAAGACGTAACATACAGTGTAACTGAAATGGAAAAAGTCATGACTAAAAAATTGTATTTTTTTCATTAAATGATGTGGGAGTTGTAATTCGATGAAATCCATCATATCATCAAAAACTGAGTTTTGAATTTTTTATTACTTACGACGTTTTGAATTTAAGGTAGGATGTTTGTTACGTCTTATTGCATTTCAGGTGACGATATATTAATATTTATATTTATTTTATGTTTACTTATAGTTAACCACAATGATACGAACATAAACACCGCTAAAAATGACATTTTAAAAGAGCTTCGTGAAATAAAAGAGCAAATGCAGAAAAGTGAGGAGTCAAACAAAAAAATTGTTACCAAGTTAACCGAGGAAATAATATCGTTAAGGAAAGAAGTAACGCAATTAAAAGCACGCGACTTGTTTGAAACAGACAGCTCACTATTGCCATCCTTGCCATTTTGGGAATTAACTACTTTAAAGGATTTTGACGAAAAATTGTTTTTGGACGACAAGATGAGAGCTCAGTTGGTAGGCGAATCTTATTTCAGCTTCTGTGCTTATGATTTTAATAAAACATTGGCTTTATTGATTGCAGAAATGCGTGGTACAAAAAATTGGAGGAGAAGAAGTTCCTGTATTCGTACGTTTAGCGTTAAAACAAATTGAGTCGGATGAGTTGGCAATTAATTTAACTTGGCGTGAGACATCGGAGAAGCCAAGCATACAAAACTTTGCAGTTTTTGCCATCATAAAAGGTTTAAAATAGTATATGTTTGTAATTAGCAATGCTTATATATAACTAAGATTCATTTTTTTATTTTTCCCAGACACTCCAAGTTCCAAAATTCGACAGATTTTAAAATTAATGAAATTGTCCAACAACATTTCTTACACGCCAGGGATAGAGTGCTCAAACGCAAACTTTCAAGTGAAAATACACGCGGAAATTTACGCCTCTGCAATTAGTTCCTTAACTCGTATACTTAACTAAATAATGTTAACAAATTATACTTAACTATTTAAAAATTTTAAACAAACTCTTTTTCTTGTTTCTAATGTTAATAAAAGTAAAAATAAAAATTTAACAAATATATTTGCATTTTTTACATTAAGCTAAAAATAAAAAGAGAAACCTCCAGGTGTAGTTTTTACGTCACGTTTCAGCGTCTCCCAGACGACACTAAGAAGTTACTTTCGGAAGCGTCGTATGTAAGTATGTTTGGATGTACCGCTTTTTTCTCTTCCAGACGGATCTAAGAAGTTACTTTCGGAAGCGTCGTATGTGAGTATGTTTAGATATACCGCTTTTGTCTCTTCCAGACGACACTTGAGTGACTTCTTCCTGTAGTGTCGCATGTGTGTCAGTGTGGACGTAACGCTTACGGGGAACAGTTTTTCCCGAAAGAGGATAGTAAAAAGATGAGAAACCGATAACTTCCGCGATGAAATTTAACTTCTTGAAGTTACTTTTTCGCCACTTCCGTGATAATAAATGCTGGCGGGGTACATGTTTATCCGTACAAATCGCGTGCTGTGGTGTTGATGGATATTCAACATTTGAAAGCAAATTTATATGTCTGGGTGTAGCTGAGTGCGCAAAGATGCTTGCCATAAGTTGTTGATATCCGGAGATTGTCGGGTTCGAATTGCACTGCAGGCAACATGTTAATTAAATTTATATTTTTTTTTTAGTTTTTGTCTTGATTATTCACTTCACGGATGCTTTTTCAGTACGAACGCGGTCATTTTAATATGCGCGTAATTTAATTGAATATTTACCAATATACAGTACTTTCGTTGACGTTTATAGTAAGATCAATTACGTTTCTATTTGATTTTAATATTTTTTTTCCTCAGTGTAGATATTGCCATCTCAAGTGGGTCACAAATTTACCGACGTTCGAATTTCCAGGTGATTTTTAACCGACTTCCCAAACAGGAGGAGGTTATCAGTTCGTCGGAATATTTTTTTTTTTTTTATGTATGTTACCGCATAACTTTGGACCACGTCAACCGATTGCGATAATTTTTTTTGCATCGGAAAGGTAGTGTCTCAGAGGTGGTCCCATACTAATCTGGTTAAGATCCGATCAGTGGATCATGATATATATATATTTTTTTTATATTTGAGTTTAAGTCGGTTTTTTTTTTGCTAAAAATTACTTGTTTCTTCATATGAAGTTCTAATCACCTGAAATATACTGCGTAAATTTCATTGAAAAATTTTAAAATTTAGACTTTTTATGATCATTTGAATTTTTTTACAATGGTACGGAATTTATTTTTTCTCGGAAAATACAAATTGGAATGTGATGATTTTTTAAACATAGGGAGAGGACATACACAGAGGGAAAATCATTTTAGGATTAAAAAAAACGTGCTAAATTAAAAAAAAGATACACATATGAAAGAGCACCAACCCAAATCGTTTTAAATTTGAGTATGCACGTTATAAAATATGTCGTTGTGAAGTGCACAGATGCTTTTTCGTAATTAAAAAGAAAAAACAATTTATTTTATTTTCCGTCTGATGGTAATTGAACCCGGACCCTCTTGGCAGAAACCAATTGTATCAAGCGTCACACTCAGCTACAGCCATACATCTAAATGTGTTTTCAAATGTTGAGTTCAAGCAAAGAATTTTATTTTTATTCCGGTTCACAATGTAAAAGAGTTTGGTTTTCTTAGATATTTCCCTCTTGCGTCCTCATTCGGTGAAAATTCCGTTGCGAATGAGGCAATTTTACTATACAAAATGTAAGCGGTTTGAACAAACGTCACCATGGTGTCCAGAAAATCAAAAAATTTTGAATTTTGTTCACATATCCCTCAAACGGCTTGTCAAACCTTCGACCACTAGGGCGGCCAGACGTCCCGGTTTTCCAGGACATGTCCCGATTTTAGACTATTTGTCCCGGTTCAACCTTAAATGTCCCGGTTTTCGATTTGATTGCGCAAATTTGAATAAAAGCTCAAAAATCACTACACTAAGAGAAGAAACGCGTTGTAATATTCAGAAAAATTTTATGAATTCACTGAGGGAAATGACGTATATTAAAAATGAATATTTTCTATTTGATTATCGTTTTAAAATGTTCGTATTTAAAAATAATACTTTCATACCACGCACGCATGGTGTTGATTCAAACACAACATTCGAATGCACATTTACATGTCTGGCTGTAGCTGTGTGCGCAAAGATGCATTGCC